TCCCCTGGTAGCCCCAGGTGTGGTGCAAGCAGGAGCTCTCTCTGGAGCAGTGCCTTCCAGTTCCGCTTGTCCTTGCTCTCCATCACAGCTGGTAACACCTCAGGCACACGTGGACTTTTTCTAAGGAGAACAAAGCTTGCTCTTCAGTGCCAGGCCCCCTGTGGCATGGAACGAGATGTACTGTCCCCACCTGCCTTCCTCTTCTGTGTGTGGTATGCCCTTCTTCCTCGGGATGTTGCCATTCTCAATAAATTGCAGAGAACATTCATCATGTCTTTGTGTCCTTGCTTTGGAGGCCACTTCTAGGCAAGGTGGTCCTAGCTCTTGGGGAAGCAGCTTGGTGGGAAGGTGTGGGAAGGTGTGGGTTGTTCCTCTGTTCATGGTGCCATACCCATCCTTTGAGGGAAGAGGATGGAGCCAGGCCGGTCTCCAAGCAGGCGTGGTGCCTCTTGAATCTTATCAGTCATTGCAGTGCCTGAATGTACAAGCCCGTACCTACACTGGTGGGGTTCCTGATGCTCCAGCTAAGCGATGTGCCATAAATATGAGCAGTCAGGAGCACTGAGGGCCCAAACTAGAGGAGTTCTGGAGGCTGCTAAACTTTTGGCCTCTGTGCTGGTAGAGCTCAATCCTAGGAGCATCATGTATAGTGGTTTCCACAACAGATGTCTTCATTTGTTGTGTCTGGAAACCTCCAGCACAGATGGTTCCAGCACCTCCCGAATCCACAAGGAGGCTACACGCTGCTCTGTGCCATTTGTTAGGGCTCAGCCTTTATGCAAACTAAGACATTCAGTGCCCTGTTGCCCATGTCGCATCTTACCAGGGTGGTGTGGTAACCTACAAATCGCCGCTGATCTAGGAAAGGGGCTGTAGCAATCTCTCTTTTTGAATTCAGCTTTTTAGAGCAGGAAGAAGCTCTGTACGGGGTGTGCTGAAATCACCAACAGAAACTTCTGGGATCTGCACAGGAAGGCTGCCAGGGCAGAGAGGCGAAACCAGAGGAGACCCAAACAGGTTGATTGATGATGGAAATCAGCAGCGGCAGGGTGGGAGCAGACATCAGATCAGTCTGTTGTCAGTTCATCTCAGTTTCCTGCCTTGGAGTGGACTTTGCTTTGTGGTAGGGGGAGGCGGCGATGGTGGGAGTCTTGTGGGCAGAGGTGGGAGGGCAGGTTTTCTGCTGCCTGTGAGCATGGAGATGGCCGTTGGCCAAGCACCCATCCTCCGCTGTACAAGTAGGCTGCAGCCAGGCAGGCTGCACAGCTTGCCACCCCACAAGCACCAGGAGTGCGTGAGAACCTCCAACTCATCCTCCCCTTCATTGACCAGCAGTAGGAACAAAAAAGGGCTGGGAAGGCACGATTCATCCCAAACCCCTGGGCTCAGGTACCCATCACCCCCCTTGAAAAGTGGGACAAGACCTCCCCGGTGTCTCCTCTTTACGTAGCAAGCAAGTGGGAGAGATTTGGTCTCGCTCGAGGAGGGTATGGGAGAAGAATGCTGTGTGTTTGATCTGTGCTTCAGTTCCTCCACCACAAGAAGAGATCAAAGAGCCAGAAACCGCTTTCAGTAGTGGTTCAGGAGTCCCACAACAACCTCCTGTGAGGTGCCCATGTCCCCGTAGGAGGTGCAGGAGCTGCAGATGGAGGAAGAGGTGCAGAGAAGGCAGTGGGGAATGGTCACAGGGCTCTTGGCAGAGGGACTTGTACTTGTTTTGAAGCCCAGCACAAGTGTGTGAGAGCCGAGGAAGGTGGCTGGGTTTGGCCCAAACAGAAGACGATGAGAAGGCAATGATTCTGCGAAGCTGGGGCTGTGCCAAGAGCACTTTGAGGTTTGGCCTGGGGCAAGAGTCACCTGTTTTGGTTCTTAACTTTAAGACTATGTTTCTTCTCAGCTTTAAAATCTGAAACACGGCGTTATAGGCATTGTTGCGGGGAGTCATTGCCACATCCTCCTCTGTGCTGCCAGAACCTCTTTGCCGTGTGAGATCCCAAGCTGCAGCCGGGCTTGGTCTCCAGCTACGTTTTCTGCAGAGTTTACATTTTGCCTAATGTTGATGATTTTGCTGTGCACAGCTCTTTGCGTAAGAAATGTGAAGGAACGGCTGGAGCCCAGGCTGTCTATCGAGTTTTACCTGGAGGAGGCTGAAGTGACTCCAGGTTTGGTATAATCTTCACATCTTGTCTGAAGACGTCAGAGTGACTCAATCTGGGCGTCTTATCTGCCTGTGCTGAATGTGGTCAGCATCCAGGCATTTGGCTGACTTAACAGATCTTCCCCTTCAATGAAGAGCCGCCATGTGGGATGGTACAACCAAGTCGTGCTGCCTCCCGAGAGAGGCAGCCACCGTGCGTTTGGCAATCTGGAGGGAGGCCGTGAGGAGAGACAACCTGTTTTCTCCAACTGAAAGCTGAGCTACCCCACACCTCCCTGGGAGTGCTCATCGTGAGTGGCTGCACTGGTCTGCAGAATGATCTGGAGCACTTAACTCACTGTCTTGGAGAGAACAACCGAGAACAAAGACCCTCTTCATTCCAGCTGCTTTTGAAAGGGAAGGTGTCCCATCCCCGCTGTAGGGATGGCTGCCCGTTCTCCAGCCACAGCTTGTTGAGTGGGCAGGCCACACACATGTGGATAACTCTTGGCCAACCATGGCTTGTGTTCCTCAAGGGTAGGACAACCCTTCGCCAACGATGACTTGAGTCCCTCAAGGGTAGGGCAGCGCTTGGCCAATGATGACTTGAGTTCTTCAGGGGTAGGACAACCCTTGGCCATCTGTTACTTGAGTCCCTCAAGGGTCATGTTCTCCCCTCCCCTATGCCCCGTTCTATGAGGAGACTGTGGTGTCAGGCAGCCTCTGTCTCTGTGACAGTCAGTGGCATTTATGTTTCTGATTCCTCTGGTGGCTTTTGAAAGTGATCCTCTGGGCTGGTTTTGCAAAGGCTCTGAGGTGTCTGTGGCTGAAGGCTGATACCTAGTGATCCTTTTGAACAACATTTTAATTGTCCTATGGGTCTTATGGGTGATTGTGAAAATTCAAACACATGTATTCCACTCCGACAGCTTAAATACAGTATAACATTGGGCTGCTGACATGACGTGAAGGCTGTAAAATATAGTTCCTTTAACATTTATTGATGATTTTTAGGAGCTAAGCAGTAGGAAAAATATTGTTTTTTTCCTTAAAGTTCATGCGTGTAACTAAAATATATGTTGGATTAATAAGATCCAGAAGATATGGGCAAGATGCCTTTCAGGTGAATGCCCTGCTTCATAGCCTGTGCACAAAATTAAACATTATTGTTTTCTTGTTTGAAGCAGCAGTTGGTGTCTGAAAAATACATTTTTCTTAAGTGAATGTATTCAGCACCCCCTCTTCTCCCCACCCCAAATTTGCTGTGCTCAAAGATGTGGGCAACAATGTCACACCTCCCAGCACATTTCTTATACAGCAATACTTTACCCGATATTACTTATGGGAGCACCAGAGCCTCTTCCACCTTTTAGTTGCCCCTTTTTTCAAAATGAACAAGTGTGATGATCTCAGCCTGATCATTTGCCCACCAACTTCAGTGAAAAAAATAAAAGAAAATAATTATTTTAACAAGTCACAGTTATCCCTGCCTGCATTTCTGTGCCATTTTTGCTGTCTTCAGTCATCGTTACCGCATCTAGTGCCCGAAGCATCCTTTCATTCCTCAGCAGGTTCGGCAATCCCTGTGGCCATCTGAAAAGCTCGGAAGGAGCTCGGACATCCTTGTTCTCTTGCTCGTTCCGCTCTGGTGCTCAGAGTCTCTGTACCTGGTTATCAGACTCCGGGAGACACATTTTGCAGGAATGTGCCCTAGAAGGCGGCACTCCCATCCCAGCTGGTGCTCTTAGGAGAGGAACGAAGCACCTCCTTTACGGATAAAAAAGAAATGCTGACCATTGTTAAATGTTAATGTGTGGTTTTCTTGCTGTACACTGGGAAACTGCTGCTTGAAAAGCCACCGGCAATTTTCCACTTAGGAAGGCAATTTGGGGTGTGCTTGGGGGAATTGTGAAAGTCTCATTCTTGCTGGTTTTCACCCAAATGCTTGCCTGATGCTGAGCGTCAGTGCAAAAGATCCAGATCCAGACAAACTGCGAAATCATTAAGAGCGGATAGAAAGGTGGGAGGAGGGAAGAACATGACTACATCACTGTAAAACATATTTTTCCAGATGCCAACAAGATATGAGAGTCCACTTACTCATTGAGACCTGTTTCAATGCTCTTGCTCTTTTATTCTCTTCTGCATTGCAAAGCGTATTTCTGGGTGGAGTCAACAATTTGGCAAAAATCTGTTAACCGCACCAAGCTGATGAAGACAGTAAATTTGTTTCCTCTTCACGCCCTTGTAGACCCAGCCCACCTCCAGAAACAGATAAAAGGGAATGCCTGAAGCTGTGGAGCTAGAGAAGACTGCGCACACTTCTCTCCACATTCATCCCGCAGCAACTCAGCTCCGTTGGTTGTTCTGCTCTCCTCAACTCCACTTGGAAGAAACGGCCATGTCTCGGCAGTCAATCTGTAGAAGCTTTGGAGGTGGAAGCAAAAGGGGATACAGCTCTTGCTCTGCCATCGGTGGTGGCTTTGGAGGAAGTGGGGGCAGAAGCAGAATCAGCTATAGCTCGTTCTCCACATCCAGGGGAATTGGAGGCAGCGGACGTTGTGGAGGCTTTAGCAGCAGGAGCCTCCATAACCTGGGTGGCAGCGGAAGAATTTCCATGGGTGGCTCTTATGGCGGTGGATACGGATGTAGAATTGGTGGCTTTGGTGGAGGCTATGGAGGAGGATTTGGGAGCATTGGAGGAGCTGTCATTGGTGGAGGAATAGGCAGCTTTGGTGGTCCCATGAGAGGTGGTCCTGGGTTCCCTGGAGGCATCCAACCGGTGCAGGTTGACCCAACCCTCCTGCGGCCAGTCCATGTCGATATTGATCCTCAGATCCAACAAGTGAAGTGCCAGGAGAAGGAACAGATCAAGACTCTTAACAATCAGTTTGCCTCTTTTATTGACAAGGTGAGAAGCTGGAACTGTATTTGCTTGGGAATGGGGACTTGGGGGAACTTTCCTGTGCTGTGGAGAGGGAAATATTGTTCGTCTCAGCTCAGTGTTGGCAGGTCTGGAAGGATGGTAGGGTTTTCACTGAGTCCTCCTAAGGAAATGTAGAAGTTTTACATCCACAGAGAAACCAAAGGACTTTCTCTAAGTTTGGTTGATCCAAATTCTTCCTTAGCTTGTCTCTCTAGTGTTCTCTGTGCAGTCGGGCCAAAGCGATCATGATATATGCAGTTACCCTAGGTGGTTCTTTAAGTCTGTCCTCAATCAAGGATAGTTTCTTCTGAAGTAACTTAGACTGTAGGAATGAGCTTTCAGTTATTTCCTGGCTGTTCCTTATTTCAGTTCAAGTACAGATGAGTATTCTTTAGACTGTCTGCACTGGGAGAACATTGGTTATAAATGTGCTTTGCAGTTTTTTTAATATATGGCATTATGTATTGAATACCATTTGTATCTGCTAAGAGGAAGGTTCTCTGGCATTGAGGCATATGGGATTTCAGTCACTGGAAGGAAAAAAATGTCCTGACGCTTCTGGAAATTAATGTAGATCAAAATTTACAATTGGAAATGACAACAAACTGTAAACTTGGAATGTCATCATTCAAGTAAATAATAAAAAAACCCAGAAGCGTAAGAGGGGAAAAGAGGAGAAATTCAAGAAAAATAGAAAAAAGAGGAGAAAAAAGGGAGTAGTCATCCTTGACGAAAACTGGCTTTCAACTATCCACGGTCTTGTTGAGGATTTGGGA